TATTGTGACGCTTCAGGCGTTGGATTGGGTTATCTGCTGATGCAGCATGGTAAGGTTGTAGCTTATGCTTCTAGACAACTAAGAAAGTATGAGAAGAACTACCCGACCCACGATTTAGAGTTAGCCGCGGTGATTCATGCACTAAAGATGTGGAGGCATTACTTGTATGGCATTCATGTTGATATCTATACGGATCATAAGAGCCTCTAGTATATCTTCAAGGAAAAGAAATTGAATTTACATCAAAGGAGATGGTTGGAGCTCCTTAATGACTATGACGTTGATATTTTATACCATCCGGGGAAGGCGAACGTAGTAGCCGATGCCCTCAGCCATAGATCTATGGGTAGCCTGTAATATTTACAGCCAGAAAAGAGGGGAATAACCCACGAGATTCATCAGCTAGCTAGACTCAGGTGATATTGGAATTACTATTCAGGATACGGCAACATCCTCTTTAGTAACTGAAGTAAAGGAACGCTAGTACGAGGATCCTGTGTTAGTTCATTATTGGGATACCACCCTTCAGAAGGAGAAGACACCATTTGAAATTAAAGAAGATGAGGTCCTCAGATATCGGGGACGATTATGTGTCCCTAATGTTGCAGGGCTGCGTCAGCAGGTTATGGGAAAAACTCACTATTCTCGTTATTCTATCCATATAGGAGCGACAAAGATGTATCATGATATCAGGGAAGTATATTGGTGGGACAAAATGAAAAAGGATATATCGGAGTTTGTTGCTCAGTGTCCTAACTGTCAGCAGGTTAAGATTGAGCATCAAAAACCCGGTGGATTATTGCAAGCTATGGAGATTCCGACTTGGAAATGGGAAGTAATCAATATGGATTTCTTTGTAGGCTTACCTCGTACCTAGCGTAAGTTCGATTCGATATGGGTGATTGTTGATGGGCTTACAAAGTCAGCCCATTTTCTGCCCGTTAGGACTACAGATTCCGCAGAGGATTATGCAAGGCTTTATATTAAGGAGATAGTACGACTGCATGGTGTCCCTGAATCTATTATCTCGGATAGAGGAGCTCAATTTACAGCTAACTTCTAGAGGTCCTTCCAAAAAGGATCGGGGACTCAGGTAAGTCTTAGTACAATATTTCATCCCCAGATAGACGGACAGGCTGAGCGTACTATTTAGACACTTGAAGATATGTTAAGGACTTGTGTGATAGACTTCAAAGGTAGCTGGGATGATCGTCTGCCACTTATTGAGTTAACATATAATAATAGCTACTATTCTAGTATTCAGATGGCTCCATAAGAAGCTCTTTACAAACGGAAGTGTAGGTCGCCTACATGGTGGTTCGATGTTGGGGAAATTTCGTTAGTAAAACCAGAATTGGTATAATAGGCAATCGAGAAAATTAAGCTTATACAGGAAAGGCTATTAGCAGCTCAAAGACGTCACAAGTCTTATGCGGATAATCGATGGCGAGACTTGGAGTTTCAGGTTGACGACTGGGTATTCCTTAAGGTATCACTGATGAAAGGTGTTATGAAATTCGGTAAGAAAGGAAAACTTAGCCCTCGGTACATTGGACCATATAGGATCATACGCAAGGTAGGCCAGGTAGCATATGAGTTAGACTTGACTTCGGACTTGAAGTCTGTACATCTAGTCTTTCATGTGTCTATGCTCCGTAAATGTATCGGAGATCCTTCCAGAATCGTGTCAGTTGACGACGTTCAGGTCACAGAGCAGCTATCATATGAAGAAACTCCCATTGCTATATTAGACAGACAGGTTTGGAGATTGAGAAATAAAGATGTAGCCTCGGTGAATGTACTTTGGAGAAACAACAATGTAAAAGAAATGACTTGGGAGGCCGAGGAAGACATGAAGTCTAGATATCCCTACTTATTTTCGCCTCTAGAGAAGGGTCTGACTGAGACATCACAATCTTAAGGTACCTGTATGGATTCTTGTGTAAGTTATTGTCACTGGTCACGTGAGGCCATTGTCGTTATTGATGATTGTGGTCCTATGTGCACTACAAGAAAAAAGGCCTATGGCAACACCGATAAAACCGTTGCCAAATATAGGAAAACCGTTGTGATAGTCGTATTGCGACGGTTTGGGCTTCGTTGCAAAGATAAGGTGTTGCAATTGGTCTGTTGCAACGGTTTTTTGCAACGGTTTCGGAGCCGTGGTCATAGCTGTATCTATCACAATGGTCTTACTGTAGCCTAATACAATGATTATTAAAAGCTGTCACAGCGATTATGAACCGTTGCAATACGACTATTGTAACAGTGCAAAACCGATGGAATAGACCTACTGGAACAATTTGTTAATATAGTTTAGCTTATTTATTCTAACGGTTATTATGATCTATTGCAATGGTCATTACAAGCTACTGTAACAGTTATTTCAGCTATTACAACGATTTTTCGAGCTATTACAACATTTTGTTACAAACTATTGCAATAATTTTTACGAGCTATTGTGATGGAGTAAACTATAATACGCTAGAATTTATACAAACCATGAAAGGAAACTATATTCATCAACAAAATCAACATCCAAAATATACAACTAGTATTATCCAAATATAAGAGAATATTGACTAATAATTCAAGAGTTAGATTGCATATAAGTTTGCAAAATATTCAAAAATAAGAACAGTCCCAAAATATCTGAAGGTGTAGATCAACCAATACTCTTTAAGTAAGGTCTTCACTGCTTTCATCTCCCATTTGTTCATTTTCTTCACCTACAAATTCAAAAGACATAACAGTATTTAAAGGATAACAATATTTAGAGGGTAAGGAAAAAAATAAGCATCTTCAACCAATACTTCAACAAGTAAGAAAATTGAGGTTATCTTCAACCAACACTTCATCTATTTACTACTGTAACTACTTTTAGATGACTAGTTTTTGAAGTACAAAATTTATCAGATCACATCAATAATAATAGTAAATGTGTGTTTGTAAGCGCCAAGACCATTGTAAACGCCAACAGTCCCATCATATTGTTGCCATTGTAAGCGCCAAGGCCATGAGGATATAGATTGTCATAGTTTACAAAGAAAAACAGTAGCAACAACTCAATGTGTTAATGACAAGGTCGAGGAAGATGTTCAACCTATAGAAAAATTACAAGGTGATGCCAGGGATGTTTTGAATGCAAAGAAACTGTTTGGAAGTCTAAACTTCCTGCTGATATCCCTGCTGCTACTACTTTAGCGAGGATTTACCAGGCTGTGGGTTCTGCTTTACAAAATAAAACTACTGTGGATAGGATTGGTGCCCAAGGTGAGGGTGCTACTGTGCATGTGACTGATGGAGAGGTGAATGTGCACAAGGCCTATACTACAACTGTTGAATAAAAGGAGCAGGACTTGGCTACTGTGGGATCAAATTATTAGGCTGTTGTTTGTTAGCAACTGGTAAATCTGGTGAGCAGCTGCCTGAAAATATTGCTGCTTTAGAGGTGAAATCAAATACACTTAACAATGCACATGTTGAAGCTGGGCAATTCTGCAATAGGCTAAGGTGCACGTTAAAATTACGAGGCAACAGGAAGGAAATAAAGCTTGACAGGGATGTGATCAAGTGGCTGCAAATTCCAGTAGCAACGATGATCAAGCAAAAAATAGAGGCTGGTCGTATGTCAATCGATCACCTAGCAAAAGAAAGTCTCCAGGTGTTAAACAATAACAATTTGAGTATCGAGCAGCTGCTTCTAAGTACATACTTAGCAACAATCAGCAAATAATAGTTGGAGTGGAGCAGGCAATGACTACAAGTGTTGAGGCAGTAGCTAAACATACTATTTATCTCACTGCTGATCAGCCCACTACTGGTGCACAAATAGCTCTTTTGGAGGATAGAAGCGAGCACGTTGCGCATAAGGAAGATACACAAGTAGCTGCTGACAACCAGCAGCTCCTATAGCTACTGCTGTGCAACAAGTAGGTGTGGAAGAAAGAGCTGGACATGTGCTTTCTCCAGGCAAATCTAGACATGTTGTTGATGCTTCAGGCAAGTCTGTTACAACTCACTTGGAGAAAGTAGCTGCAAAAAATGAAAGGAGGAAGGCTGGACAGTGGTGAGGCAGAATACATCACTAGGCACGAACAAAAACCAGCAAAATTCGACTGTTTCAGCAGGTCGACAAAATACTCCAATGACAGTAGTTAATCTAGCTCATACACTGTTAGAGCACCCATCACTTTAAATTCAGGATTAATTAAAAAAAATGCAAATTTCTAACTGTACAATCTAAAATTTAGAAGCATCGATTATAGGATTGCGAGGATTCTAACCTTGATTGTTGCTACCAAGAGATGGCCGGTGAATTAGCTGAATAGTTGCAGCTTGTATTGAGGAAGCTTCACCCAATGGACGAGAATACAATGTTGCTAAAATATTAGCATCAATTGGTAATCCAGAACGTTGAAGTTTTAGTATGGTATCTTCTACAATTTCTTGTCTCATCATTGTCTTTTGTTCCTTATATTATTCCTTCTGTTCCTCAATTTTTTCCTCCAATCTTATCATCCTCTCTTCCATTTTTTTCATGTGATCATTTGTTGCATTTGAAGAGGGTTCAAAATGTCCCACTTTCCCTTTCAAAGAGGTTTTTGTAACCCCCTCCCATACAATCTCAAACGCCCCGGATGTTCGGGTCCCATAATTGATGCAAATGCACTAATTGACTCATCACCATTTTCACTTTGTTGCGTTTCAATATTCTCCATTTCAGCCTATGATACAAATTATAAAAAAAAAGAATTCCAGATAAGGAAAGGTCAATATGAACATATTTTTCATCCCAACAAAATAGAAACAGAAAGAATTCGCACAATTTTTCTAGTTGTATCTTCATTCGATTCCTTGTATGTTCGACCGGATTTTCTTTTTCTCATAGCCACAAAGATATCTTTCAGTGATAGTGGATCAGAAGTTTCTTTCTCTTTTTCCTGGACACATTAAAAGTAGTACAAAATATCTTCTTAAAAATGATAACAAGTTCATATTTAATGATAAATAAGAGCAGATACCAAATCATTGCGGACTATAGCAAAGCTTTTTTTGCCAGCAGTGTGTGGATCCTTTAACTTTTTCCGATTCTCAATATTAGTTGCTGACATTTTCTGCAAGTAAATAATAAATTTCAATTCGAAACTGTCATAAAAAGAAAAGAATTGTTTTTCCTTCATGAATATTTCTTGATAAAAGTTAACATAAATGAAACTGTTTCTCAAAAACATACTTGGTGGTTATCAGAGTTCCAATATTTGAGAAGTTCCTTAAATTGATATGCTGGAATATTTTCAGGCTTATTTTCCATTCGAGTTTCGTCATTATGATATGCTTCAAAGTGATCTTTTTTCAATTGACTCTTATACCTTCTCCAAGCACCTTGAATTGCTTCCGGAGTCCAATTTTTCGCAATATCAGAAATATTATATTTTTCCTACAAATTGTTTCACTGGGTTAGTGCAAAAATATTAAGCATGTTCAACCAAAAATAAAATTGAGAACTGAGAACCTTTGTATATTCCCACAATCATCTTTTGTGTCAATTTTCCTCCAATCAAATATATCAAGAGGACAAAAGGTCGAATTCCTTGCCAATGTACCGAGGAAGCTTCCAAACTCCATCACAACACCTTTAGTAGGACCAACAGGTTGACCAAACTCATTGACCAAAATTAACTTACGTTCACTCCTTCCATGTACACTTAGCATCCTTGTTTTACCTCTTTTTCTTTTTTTAGTACAACATCCTACAATAATACAAATCAGAAGTATCCTTCAATTGAGTAAAATATATATAGGATGTCAATATTGTAATGTAAAATCTAAATGTTCTTACCTTGTTCATTTACTGTAGGAGTATTAGCATCCAATTGCACTTCTTGCTCTACTGATTGTGTTGTAGGGTGGTTGAATCACTTTGTAAATGGGCTCCTACCCTCTGATGTTGTGGCATTGGTAGTTGATGTTCTTCCATTATATTTTTCAGAACCTAACGCTCTTCAGTTAACCGTATAGAGCTAGCTATAATATTCGTTTTTCTGGTCCGCAACAACCTTTTGTGATATGCCAAAGATGTAAGTGTTCCAGCTTGAACGAATGTTGAGCTTTTCACTTTTTTCTTTTGTCTTGTCCATTCTTGAATCATGACTACAATTTTGAAGCAAATAAAGATATCAGTAGCAGTGGTGGTAAAGAGGGAATGAAAATTATCAAGAGCAGAACTATCTTTGAGATGATGACACCATAGAAATCTAAAGTTCAGAAGTTTATTTCATCTTTGAAATGAAGATATCAGCAGAAGTATTTGATGGTGTTCCAGCAAATTATTTTTTGTTTCAAATTGTTTATACTGTTGTGATCAGATTTCAAAAAAGGAAAAACTACTCTTACCTTATATCTTTCTCAGCTATACCAACAAATTCAATGACGGCAATATTGTCTTCACGTAACTAATTTGCAACACCCTGGAAAAAAAAGGTAAGAAGCCATAAGAGGTTATTACAATGGTCAAAGAGAGGAGCGGAGACATGAGGACCAAGGCAACCAATGACAAGTAAAGACACCAGCACATGTTTCCAAAAACATATCACACTTTTCAGAATTTAATCATGATTGACATGGAAAAAATAGTTAATTTACAATCCACAAAAATTGAATTACAAAATAACCAAAAAAGGAGATCAGATCAATTATCATTCTTTTCCATTCTCTTTCAAAGCAATGGTACAAAGAAGAAAAGAAGAAAATACAAAAGATACCTCTTCTAATGTTATCATATTCAATATTCAAGAACCATCCAATCCCAATCAGTGTCATCAAAATCATCTTCCTCTTCTGATGTTTCCATATCTTGTGAATGTTGTGCACAAGATGGCATATCAACAACATCACCAGGTACATCTTCTGTCGACCATACGACGTCACCATCGGGTAATCTATTTGATGAACCAATGTCGTCATCGAGCTCACTCCAAAATGTATCTCCAATATTAGGACAATTTTCTTCCTCCAAATCATACAAATCAATAAGGATTTTGGTCCTTGCATAATAAATATTTTCCTCATTTGGATCCTCCACATAAAAAACTTGATGCACTTGAGATGCCAATACAAAGGGGTCATCGGTATTGCATAATCTATTGAAATTCACTAGAGTTAACCCATATCCATCTATTTCGTTATAAAACCAATCACATCTAAATAATACAACACTAAAACAACCCCAATAATCAATCTCAATAATATCCTGAATAGCTCCACAATAGGTAACCTCTCCATCGATGGGATTTTGGTCCCTAGCACTAGCAAAACTATCGGTGGTTGCTGATAAAGTCACACCATAGTTTTGAGTATTTAATCGGGAATCTCATTCCATCGTATGAAATTGGTATCCATTGATGAAATATCCAGTATATCTTTTTGCCACCATATTAGGCCCTTTAGCTAGCCATCGTAAATGCTTTGGCACTTCAATAGTTTTAACTTTCTCTTTAAACCAATTACTAAATTCCTGGCTATGATTCCGTGCCCGTACCCATGCATTTGATCTAGTATGATTATCAATTAAACTCTTACGTTCCCTGCAAGCATGAAATGTTTCAAATTAAATTTTATGAATGACGTTCAAAATATTTCTATCACATATAAGTAAATTAATAAAGTTTAACATATAAGTGACAATTAAATATCTTATCTTACATGATAAAGTTCTCCACCTGTTCATCTCCGGTATTGAATAGAGCATATCGATGTGCTTCAAAACATAACTATAAATCCATAGAAAAAGTCTTGCCTTTCCTTTTCTTCTTACTTCCAATTGGATGGCCTATCTTAGGGAATATAGGTGACAAATTATCTCCCTCTGTTTCAATTCCCTCATCATCCTCATATTGGTACCTACTGAATCTTGTTTTTACCCCATCGTGTAGGTATCTCGAACAAAAGTTCAAGCATTCTTCGGCTAAAAATCCCTCCGCGATTGATGCTTCTGGATGAGCCCGATTACGAAGAAATACCTTATACTTACACATGTTTCTCTCTGTGGGATACATCCAAAGAAGATGCGCTGGACCACCAAGCTTTATCTCATTTACTAAATGGATGGGAAAATGTACCATTATATCAAAAAAGGTTGGAGGAAAAATCTTTTCAAGGTCACATTCAATTTTATTGATTTCAGACTGCATTGTATCAAGATCTCTTCGCCGTATAACTTTGCCACATATGGCTCTAAAGAAGTTCCCCAACCTAATTAAGGCCAAAGAAACATTCTTGGGCAACACTTTTCTGATGGCAACCTGGAGCAAGTAATGCACTATAAAATGAGCATCATGGCTCTTGTACACTGATATTTTCATCTCATCCACTTGCACACATCGTGATATATTTGAGGCACATTCTTTTGGTAATTTGACATTTTTTAAAACACTACAAAACAACTTCTTCTCTTCTGTCTTCATGGAGAAACAAGCTTTATCCAAATAAACTTTTCCATTATTATCTTTTATTGGTTGAAGCTCCTTCCGTATTCCCATCTCCTGCAAGTCATATCGAGAATTTACTTGATCCTTTGTTTTTTCAGGTATATCCAATAAAGTCCCAAGTAAACTGTCACAAATATTTTTCTCGATGTGCATCACATCAAGGTTGTGTCGCAATTTACTCCCAATATGGCAATTAAAAAAAATAGATTTCTTCTTCCACGGGCCCTCACTATCTCGACGCGTCTTCTTTTGGCCCTTTCCAAACATATTATTGAATTCACGCAGCTCTTCGAAAGCTTCTATACCCGATAATGGAGTAGGTGTTGTTCTATGATTCTCCTTACCATGAAATGATTTCTTATCTCTTCGAGAGGGATGATCAGGAGGCAAAAAAGCCCGATGACCCAAGTAACACATCTTACGACTATGTTTGAGAGATTGAGAACATGTGTCATGATTACAAGTTGGGCATGCCCATCTCCCCTTGGTGCTCCATCCAGAATGCATTGCTAGTGCTGGAAAATCACTAACGGTCCACAATAAGGCTGCACGCATTTGAAATATTTCGTTAGAATCAGCATCATATGTTTCCATCCCGATTTCCCATAGTTCCTTCAATTCAGCAATTAGTGGTTGTAGATACACATCTATGTCCTTTCCTGGAGATGATGGACCAGGAATGATCCTAGACAATATTATATACTCCGGCTTCATGCAAATCCATGGTGATAAATTATAGTTCATTAACATAACAGGCCACGTGCTATGGGAAATGCTCATAGTTCGAAATGGGTTGAAACCATCACTTGAAAGACCCAATCTAACATTACGAGGATCTCTAGCGAAGTCTTCATGCAAGGAATCAAAATATTTCCAAGCTTCACCATCAACAGGATGTCTTAAATTTCCATCATTGGGTCGTTCAGTGGCATGCCATCTCATAGCTGCAGCTGTTTCAGAACACATGAATATCCTCTTAAGCCTAGGTTTTAAGGGAAAGTATCTTAAAACCTTTTCAGGGACTTTAGAGCTTGCATTAGTCAAGAGATCAATAACATTCTTCCATCTCGAAGATCCACACACAGAACAATTCTTTGCCTTCTCGTTGTCATTCCAATATAACATGCAATCATTAGGACATGCATGTATTTTTTCATAATGAAGACCCAAATTTTTTATCATACTTTTCGCCTTATAGAAAGACTCGGGTAACTGAGCAAATGGGAATACCTCTTTCAGTAAGTCTAGAATATCTGTGAAGGCCACATTACTCAACCCATGAATGCACTTTAACAAGTACAACCGAATGGTAAAACTCAATTTAGAGAAATTCTCACACCCTGGGTATAACTCTTGTTACTAATTTAAAAAATCTCTTTGCATCTTCAGAGGGTTCCTCCCTCACTCCTTCATATTGTCTGAAGTCACCCTCAACATTTCTAAAAGTATCATGAAGTAGTCCATCAATATCATCATGCATATCACCTTCATCATCACTGCTTCGATGTGGATTATTTCTCGAAAAACCTTCCCCATTAAAAATCCATTTGGTGTATCCTTGAACAAATCCATAAGCAACCAGGTGATCCTCCACCACATTTCTATAATGCCAATTACAATTAGCGCACTTTTTACAAGGACATAATATTTCATTTCCTTGGGAAGCTTGTTTAAATGCCTTATCAAGAAAATTATTCACTACGCGGATATACTCATCAGTGGATCTTCGAAGACCCATCAAACTTTTATCTCCATTACTCATTGAATATCCTATGAGACACAAAAGTAAATCAACAATTAGTAATCCCTGTTCCAGTAAGACACAATTGTAGTATTCAAATATGTTGTTGTATCACCAAACGTAATACATGCACCTTGATTCATATCCAACTCCCCAATATTGGCACTATTTATTCAGTCATCCATTTAATAATTGCTTCCCGCTTTTCCAAACTAGTTGTAAATATTTATTGCAAAACTGAAAGCCACTAGAAAAGAAAAAATAGAAAGGTTATAAAGTTGATTATTGATCAACCACACCTAACTTGCTCATGACATGGGGGAGAAAAGATCATGTTTTATTTCTTAAAAGCATAGACTCAAGTAATAGAATTTCAAAGGAATCAATTTACCTCTTAGATTTTAATTTTACACCTAGAAATATACTGGTAATTTTGGGGACATATACTCGACCACAAGCATCTAAAAGGGACCTTTCAAAAGGAAGATTTTATAAAATTACCAAACAACTTATAAAAATAAAAACAATTGTCCCTTGTTTCTATATACAAACAACAATAATTCATACAGCTTTTACAATCAACTTAATACAAATACCATATAAAAACTACAACATTTCCACATATTTTTTAACCAACAAAGTAAGACAATTTACGGAGTACGAATTACAACCTATACACATAAACCTTTCACCAATAATTTGACATAGCCAACTAGTAAGTCACAAAATATATCAAGAAAAACATATGAGAATTTTCAAGAATAAAAAATAAGATCCATGTAGATAACGTTAAGTTACCTGAATTGATAGCGGCTCCTCTAAGTTCATAAAAAAAGAAGAAAAAAAGAAGCCAATTCAGATGATAAGAAACTAGTTGTAGAGTCTTTCAAACTAGCTTGAAGAGATGATGAAGCTTGAAGGCTATTCACATAGTATCATCTACACACTATGATATTGGATATTACGACAACACCATTTTAAGCGAGCTGCGAAAATTGAGAATACATAAATCAATTGCTTTTTAAAAGTAATAAAATTCATCAGTCAAAATCTAAAACAGTAATAAAGTAGCATGATTTAAGAGGATTTATTTTGGTTATTTTTGATTGGTATGATTAAGATAAAGACACAAAACAGATTGAAGTATATAAAAAACTAAACTTCTCACAGTCCTCTGTACAATATGGAGATAAAATTCAATCACCCATGTAGCAACATAGAAGTAGTACCAATTATATGCATTTATAAACAATTAGACAATTGAATACTACTCTCTGTTAAACAACTTCACTCATTTTCGAGGCCTTAAAATTTCTAATTCACAATTGAAAAGTTAATATTGATACATAAAAATTTCATATGTACGTATCACATCAACTAATAATTTGTTCCTCGTCCTACTTCCATGAACTATTTTCCATTTTAAGGGCACTACTAATCATAGTGTAAAACAAGAATTGAGTAGAGGACAAAAACTACATCCATACCTAAAACTTCTTCATTCATTGTTATGAGAAAAATAATAGCATTTTCATACACAAAGTTGCAGCCAGAGGTTTAAAACTAATTTAACATTAACATACTTTTCTCTTCTCCAGTCACACCAATCATTAAGATAAGAGAATAAAATCTTTCCTTTCACAGGGAACAGTTCAACCAAAAATTTAAGATTATACAGGCCTTTAGTCATGAACCTGCTCATTTCCTGAAAACTTGCCTTTGTATTGGATGTTAATGACCAATGAAACATACACCAAAGCTTGTGAAAAATGTGCTTATTTAACTGATTGAGGGCTTCTCATAATTGCTCTGCCACATAGAATGAACTTAGTTTCTTTAAATATTTGAATCATATCTGTCTCACATAAGCCTTTGATCATGAAATGCAATATATAGATTAGCATTTATGTAGTTCATGGTTTGACTAAATGCACTATTGTCTTATGATATCCTTAAATACTTAGAGAATTCCCAGGAATACCTTTAATATGAGCAAAATACAAGCTTGTCCGTGTACTAATGGAAAATATGACTTTTTTGAAATTGACATAGTTGATTCCTTCCTTTTTACAATGCCAAACACACATATAGTACATTTCTCAACATACCCCTCAACACCCATTTTAGAACACAAGAGCAAAACCATCAGAAAACCAACCAAAAAAGTGAAATCTCAAGATATAAACAATAATTTTCTCTAATTCTCCAGCTTTGAATTTCTCTATTTAAGTTTTAGAACTTTGTCGACCTCAACAATGGAGTTTCGAAGGGTATTTCTCATTTTAATTTCCTTCCAAACAGCAGTAAATTCAATATTTAGTACAAAATCAACTTTGAATAAAACTTTGGCTCAAAGAATTGAAACCCAGCTTCTCAAACACCAATTTGACTAAAACCCCAAATTTAAGCAATCTTCTTTAATTTTTTACCACAGAATGTTTCACGGAGTTCTCAAATCCTCACCAAATTTGAGATAAAAGCTTCAAACCACACTAAAATTGAACATCAAACATAAATTAGAACAAAACATAATGATTTCATAGAAACCCATTTGTGTATTTTGTAAGCTTTTCCAAAAGCCCTTGAATGGTAAATCTAGAGACAGAGAACTTTTAAGCCATGGAGGAGAGAGAATCATACACACCTATTGTGCTAGAGAACGATATGTATACTTGGTCGAAAAATTCCTTTGCTGGATTTGGGTTTGAAGAAGCCTTCAATTCACTGGAGGGTTTTTTCTCATGAAGTTCTCAATGAAGAGAAAGGCGTAAGAAGACCATTCTTTGATATTCTTTTGTGACGACCCGACCCGTCGTCTCATGTGCTACCGCGCTGTTTTCCCCATTTATTGCTTCTTCATATTTCATTATCGGCATTTGGTGAGTTAGAGTCGAATTGGTTTGGTTTTGGTAGAAAATGAGACACTTAGTCTCTTTAAGGAAGGCTTATATTGGAAAAAGTCAACTGAATATTGACTAATGAGTTAGAGGGCTTGGATGTAATTTTCGGTGATTCGGTTAGCTTCGGGGGATGATTTGTGACTTAAGAATGCGATCAGAATTGATTTTGGAGGTCCGGTGTAGAATTAGGCTTGAATTGGCGAAGTTCGTATTTTGGCGAATTCCGGTTGGTAAGTGAGATTTTGATCCGGGGCTCGGAATAGAATTCCAAGAGTTGCAATAGCTTCGTTAGGTGATTTTGGATATGTGTGCAAAATTTCAGATGATTCGGAGGTGTTTTGGTTGGGTTATTGATCGAATGTGAGTTTCGGAAGAATTTGAAGAACTTAGGCTTGAAATTGATGAGAAATGAGGATTTTTGTGTTGTTGGATGTGTTTTAAGATTGGAAAAAGTTTGAATAGGGTATTGGATCATGTCTGTGATTTTGGTTGAGGTGCCGGGGGCCTCGGGGTGAGTTCGGAGGGTTAAACGGGAGTTTTGGGAGTTTGCATATAGCTGAAGAACTGCTGCATCTGATATTCTCGCTTCTGCGGGTCTTGGACCGCAGAAGCGGAGGCGCTTAAGCGGGGGAGTCACCGCAGAAGCGGTCCATGGGTTGGTAAGGTAGATCCCAGAAGCGGACCATTTTTCGCATCAGCGGGTCCGCAGAAGCGGACTGGTAGTCGCAGAAGCGGTGTTGACCTTGAGAGGAAGTTCCGCATAAGCGGAAATATAGCCGCAGAAGCGGTTTGGCATTTTTAAATGAATATCCGCAGAAGCGTGATTTTGGCCGCATAAGCGGTCCCGCATAAGCGGAATCGGGACCGCAGAAGCGAAAACTGGACTGGTTAGAAGGATTTTATTGAATATTTCATCCGCGAGCTTGGGATACTTTCCACCATTGTTGGGCGACCTTGAGAGCTTTTGGCGAGAATTTAAGGGAGTTTTGACTGGGAATCGATTGGAGGTAAGTCCCTTAGCCTAAATACATGAGATTATGATAAATTTAACATAGAAATTGGTGGAAATTCATCAAAAGGGGGTAAAGCTAGGGCTTGAGAATTTGGTAATTTAAAAATGGAAATTGAAGGGTCAAATGGACTCCGATTTTGGTAAATTTGATATGTATGGACTCGTGGCGAGATGAGGAATCCGGTGATGTAAATTTTATAATTTTTCGAGAAGTGGGCCCGGGGCTCGGATTTTGCCAACTTCATGATTTTCAATGTTTTTCGAGTCTTTTCGATTGGGTTATATTCCCTTAGCCTATTGTAATGTATTCCTTGTGGTTGTGATCATATTTGACGCGCGAGGAGGTCAATTCGAGAGGAAAAGGCATAGCGAGCTAGACTTTGGGCCGGCTTTTGGTGAGTAATAGGTGTAAATGATGAACTGAGGGTTTGAAACCCCAGAATTTTACATCGTAGCGCTATATTGAGGCGAGGCACGCGCTCTATGACGAGTGCGGGGTCGTTTGTTATTGGGGATTGTGACATGGTCCGTCCCGGTGATGTTTTTCTGTGTTTTTCTACTAGAACTTGTTGGAAACCATCGTTACTTGGATTTGACTGTTGTATTTGGGTTTCGTGCCGGCTATTCGAATTCTTCAGGGATTGATATTACTGATTTTGCATACTTTGCATATTGTTTAACCTCATTCAAAGGTTTTAAGTACTATTTTGCAAACTCAGCCCCTTCTCTCAAATTTGAAAACTTAAATGACATTTTAAATGATATTTTGGGCTGTGAATTACTGATTTAAAATGCCCAAGAGGCTTATAGTGATTTCTGGATACATGGTTGGCTCGGGCTGCACGCCGCAGCAGTACGATATTGAGGCCGAGGGCCTGGTTGGTGCCACGAGATGGCTTGATTATTTGCGCTTGGGCTGTAGGAGCCCCTCCGGAGTCTGTACACACCCCCAGTGAGCGCCGTCGACGATAAATATATATGGTTGGCTCGGACTACACGCCGCAGTGGGTACCTGAGTTTACCGGCATATGCATTGCATTGCATTCATGCATTATTACTTACCTATTTTACCTGGCATGGTTCTTTCTGTACTATTATTTCATTGACTT